CGACACGACACTGTCGTTTTGGCAACAGGTCAAGAAGCTGTCTCAGTCAGGGTTGCCGAGCGTTGCCCAGCCACTCTCACGACCCGACCCGCACAACAGCTGAGCAAGTATGGGAAAGGGTGGAATGTATAGTCGGCGACACATTTGAAGGCAAATCGGAAAGGAATCATGAGCAAAGAACTGAGCGTACTTAGCGAAAGGTAAAGGTCTCAACAATCGCGTCGAGTTCCATACGTCACATGGCACTTCCCTGCATATCCGAAGAGCTGCTACGCACATGCCCCTACTTCAAATTCGTAGTGCGTGAGCGCGTCCTGCTGAGGATTTGGGGGGGGGGGGGTGGAGGAGACAGCAAACGGTGGGAGGAGGGGGTGAAGGGGAGGGGACATCCTGAAAGTGCCAAGGACCCCTGGCCGGGAGGGGGAGAGTGGGCCCCTCGTCCCTCTCATCCCAAGCGACAGCGGCGACAGCACAGCGCTTCGCGGCTGCGCTCTGCGCCCGGCCAGTCTGGTGTTTGGCTGGGATTGGGACGGGACAGGGTCGGAACGAGAACGCGAGCAGCCGCGAGAATACTGGGCGAGTTTGAGCTGCTCGGGCGCGTCCTGGGGAAGTGCAAAGCGGAGCGGCAGCTGGCGTCGCGTGCGCGCCGCGCGCGTCTGTCCGGCCCCTCCAGCTCCAGCGCCGCGTGACGGGTCCGCAGGTCCGCCCACAAGCACCCACAAGTTGAGAACGACGACAGCAGCCAACGGCTATCCTGCCCCCCCCCCCCAATTCCCCCCCTGACTCGCCAGTTTGTTTTGGCGCCGCGACGCCGAGGGCTGAGGCCGAGGGCCGGCTGGCTCAGCTCAGCGTCGGCGTCGGCTGCGCATCCGATCCGGTCCGCTAGAGGGCCTCAGCCAGCAGGCCAGCAGGAGCAGGGGGAGCGCCTGCCTCTGCCTCGCCAGCTCGCCAGTCGTTCGTTACGCTGCCGTCGGTCGGCGTCGGCACGGATCGGCATCGCGTCGCATCGCCCGCTCCCGCTGCCAGCCGCAGCCGCATCTGCCGCATCCTCCCTGCTCTCCTCTCAGTGCCAGTACATCAGCTGCAGCGTCGTCCTCTGGTCTCGCCTCGCCCGGGCCACTCCTAGCCATGGCGCCCTCACCGTCGCGCGCCCACTCCCACTCCGTCATGACCCTCATTTGCGCCATTGTCCACCTGGTCGCCGCGGTGCAGTTCACGTTTGCCGTGTTTTATGACTGGACACGGGTCATTATACCGCCACATGTCCAAGAGATGGGCAGTGGATTCGGAGGGAAATTCGTCTTTCTCACATTTTGGGATGCGGTGGGTACCAAAGAGAGCACAGTGAAGCTGTCATAATCATAACCAAACCAATAGTGATGACATGATGAATGAATGAATCAATGAATGACCAAATGAATGAGTAAATGAATTATTGAGATCGGAATTTCCTATTCTAGCGAGGCTCGGTCGTCCTTTGTATTTTGTCTTATTTTTACACTTTTATTATTCTTGCATGTTATTCATTTTTTCCTCAGAGGAAATTGTTTTGACGAGATATGTCAAGTCTTGTTTCACCCCCTGCATTCGATGGATAGGTGTTACTCGATATGCTAGCTCATGCCTCGTAATACATTTTTAATTTTATTATCTTTAACTTTGTTGTATTCTGTTACAGATACTTCAATCAGTCTACTTTACCATTGCTCTAATTAATGACGCTGCTGGTGACCACTCCCCCAACCCTTCAAACCCGCCTCTTATTAGAAGAATCAAGGACTACATATTTGCATCATTTGCTTTCCCAATTGCCATGGTGCGTAAATATTTCATTACATGTTTTATTTTACAGGTGTGTTTTTAGAAATTTGTTTTAATTTATGGTGGTAATTTTAAGCTAAGCAAACCTTTTCTGTTTTCTTGTTTTAGTTCGTTGCCATTACATTTTGGTCCATAATGGCAATTGATCGAGAACTTGTATTACCAGAAAAACTGGATAAATATTTCCCTACTTGGTTGAATCACATCATGCACACAAATATTGCTATTTTCATTCTGCTGGAGATGTTCTTGTCATGCCGGAAGTATCCATCAAAGAAGAGTGGACTAATTGGACTCACAACCTTCATGGCTATCTACTTATCATGGTAATATTCATTGCTTTTTACTTAAGTTGTTGCCAATCATATTATATCAATTCTTTATTACTCTTGTATTTTTCAGGACATTTGTTATCTATTTCAACACAAACCACTGGGTCTATCCTGTGATGGAACACATGGATTGGCCATCTCGTATATGCTTCCTTCTTGCTATGTTGGCCTTCTGCCTTATTCTTTATCTTGTCGGGGATTTCATCAACAGAAAACGATGGGGTGAGTTGCTACATCCAAAGAAGGATAAGGCTGAGGTACCAAATCCTGATGAAACCTTGCCAATGACTGATGCTGACCTCAAAGAACGATCGGTTTAGACTTTGGTGCACAGGGGATAAAATGATATTAGTAGCACTCAGTCGTTTTACTTTTTCATTATTACTTCTAAAGACTGACCCAGATGTTAAGCCGTATTGATTTAACCTGTGTAAAGAATCAGGTTTTCTGACAAAGTCATCCCATTTATTTTGCCAATTTGTTTCTCTGGTTCTTTGTGTCAGCTCATTTAATAGTTGGGGTTAACTGTAGTTGTCTTTGCTTGGGTTTTCCTTCAATGTAAGGATTTTGGTATGTAGCCTGTGTATACTGTGATTTAAATGCCTGCATGACACTCTGGTCATTCTAGGATATCATATCTCATCTGTATTAGTTAATGTGTAGTTAGTTATGGAATTTTGCAACCTCATATTATCAATAGATCCCTCCTGAATTTCTTGTCATTGTTAATACTGCATGCATCATTTCTTACTCGGAAGGGATGTAGAGAGTTGCATATTGTGTGTGAAATCACCTTAATCTTCAATCCAGTTAAGTTATGCTTCACTTTGTGAATTGGGTAGTAATTTTTTTTTCTTATCTTACTTTTCATCACTTTGTTGGTAGAATATTTTAGCATTTGCCCCTTTGCTTAAAATACATTTTGTTCTTTTTTTTTCCTTTTCTACCTAACTTTTTCCATCTAAAGTTTCTTTTGTTAAACTTATTTGAATTATGGCTTTATCACATGCGTATTAGTTTAATTTAACTTGATTTATCAAAGTACAAAATTGAAATTGTACTTACATGTACTTACTTACTTACTAGTACTTATTTCAGTATTTCCTTTTCATAATGAAGAATACGTACATTACATCACGCAGCTTTGATAGCATGCTAGCTTTATTCACTTTGTTTCCTCGTAAAAAATGTTATCAAGGGATACATGGTTGCAGCAAGGGGACATCAATGAAATTTTAAGTTCTTTAGATTATTGTGAGTGCCATAGCCATATGTTACCTATGAATTATACCTATGCTTGCTGTGATAAAAGTGTAATTGTGATTGAAAGAGCTGTGCTGTTGCTTACTATCTCTTACTGTTTCGAATTGTAGTTCAACAATTCTACATACAGAGCAAATAGTGCATGGGTTAAAGTAGGCACAATCTTACACAACATGTAGTGGAGTGTGGCTGTTGCCGTTGTGTCAAATTACTTGTTTTAAAATCTGAGGGATTAAATTTTTAGTGCTATACTTGTACTGGTGGGGAAAGTCTGATGAGTAGCTAATTGTTTTGTGGATCACAGGTTTTGGAAAGTGCATTTAAAAGCAAGTATCTAGGACAACATCTGGTGAATTAATTTTATGGAGGTGTAAGGTGGAATAGAAAAGTGTGAAGGAAACTAGTTTAATTTTTTAAATCTTTTTGGGTCCCACTCTTTTATATCACCCCGCATTTTTTTTCTTATTTTTGCACGTCTGTATGTGACTTGTCTTATTTGGGAGCTTTCTTTCACATTCAACTATTGCACTGACTGTAAATTTCATAATTTCTTATCTTTGTGCCTGCGCTAGTTGTGTATTAGCTACCGCAGTGGAAAATTGCTTCCTACAGCATTCATTTTCAAGTGCTTCATTGAAATTATTTTCTCATAGCACTGCCATGTATTTCTGAATGCCCTCACCCCCCTTCTTTTTTTAAGGTTTTATCATGTTTGTCGACTGGATCAAACTGGTCATGTTTTTTGATTCACTTACCAACCTTTTGCGCTATCTTTTATCTTTAGTCTTATCCACTAAGTAAGGAGGTTTTATGTTTTAGTCATTGTTTTGTAGCTTGTGGCAACATTTATTGTATTTTTGTAGCGCTTTGTTATATTTGGTTGTATTGGTGTCTTACCATTTTTGCGTCCTGTGGTGTCTGTAGGGTACATGAGAATGACTGATTGGTGTGAAGTTTTGATTCAAAATCCCAATTTTGTGATCTTTTACAGCAAAGCAAATAAATTTCGTTCCCTACATTTTGGTTTTTGTTCTTTTTCATATTCATTATTGCTCATCAAAGCATACTAGATTTAATATCTTTTCCCTTCTGCTTCTTGGTCGGCTGGCTGATATGTGTATTTGCAGTCTCAAGCTTCATAAACATACACACTTTCCCTGCTCTGTCACTTTTAGTTGCAGTTTTCATTTATTTTATCCTTGGGGCTTTATGCGGTAGCATATATTTTCGTTTGTCTTTGTAAATTAAGCTAGTATCAGTCTCAATCTGGTCAAAGTAAATCAGTATTTACTGTTTCCTCTATATATTACTTTGTAGATTGGGATCTAAATTTCAAAATTTGTCGAAGTATTAAATACGTTCATCAATGAAGGAGAATAGAACTACAAATATGTAGTTGCCCCCATTATTTCACTCGTTATTGACTTTTATTTTGCACCTTTAGTTTTTAATCAAGGATGAGATTTTTTTAAATTTTGTTTCAGGTCAGGATGCTGGATACACCAAAATATCTCAAAAGCAAAAAGTAAATGGAGCAAATGGTAATTGATCTTTTGGTTCATAACGTACTTGTTTTCCTTTTTTGTTTTCAATTTCTTTTCATCTGTAACATTCTATGTTTTCAGGGAAATCTATTCACCAAGATTGATTTGCTTTGAATCTCTTGCCATTCCATTTTTAATATTATTGAAGGCTGATTGATGATATTCTTTGTATGGCTTAGAAAGTTTTGGATTCAATACAGAAGTAGCTGAAACGCAGAAGCAAGACACACATTCAATGTTGACTATTTCTTGTAAATGACAGTTTGGTGCTCAGCTTAGTTTAAAAATGCAGTACAGCAGTCACATCTCTAGTCGAAGTATTCTACACCACTCTTGTTTCAATACCAGCTGAAATACAGTATTCACTTAGGTTTATGTAGAGAATTTTAATGTAAGTGCAGTGTGAGTAAGCAGAAATGCTGTATTGCTTTGTTTTTATATACTGAATTTTGTTATGTTTGAAACTTATAAATAAATTACTTAGAAGTTGAAAGAAAAATGCTGTTCCTGTATTCTTGATACAAAATATCGGTCAGTTAAAATAGCCGTGAAGTAATTTAAGGTTTTTGAAAAAGTGAGAGAAAAGACCAATCCACATAAAGAGAACTTTTAATTCATTATAAACCAGTAGATGGTTTCACATTGCATATTGATTATTACATCTCAATTAACATACGCATGCAACAATTCAGACAAAACAAAATTTATTTACTTTGCAAGACAAGTACATTACACAATTGACGAAATTACATTGTGATATCCTTAATCTCTAACAATGTCACTTTGTATGGTTACAGATTGGAGGGACTGCCACTAAATATATAGTATATATACCCTATATATATAAATATACATATAGAGAGAGATAACTATGTACTGCAATACTGGAATGTAAAGAAACATAAAAATTAAAGTACACTATGATACACAGGGAAAGTTTATGAAAGGAGCAATAATTGAAAGGCAATTAAAATTTGTAAATGAGTTAGAAAACATTATCCTACTCATGAGTACGGACTGTAGCTCACCTTTGAATATCTGAAATATTTGTTTCAAATCATCTCTACTTGTGGCTCAGCTATTTAGTTTTGGATAATTCTCATTACAACCAGCACTAATACTCTGTCCATCTTGCTGGTTTGCATCTAGTTGAGCTCAGCAAGGACAAACAAAGGTAATAAAAATACGTACTTCAAAATCATGAAAGGGGAGAAGTTCCTAAGAGTGTCATCAACTTACTAAAGACATGACTAGTACTCGCCTCACTTCATGAATTCATGGACAATAAAGTTGTATTTTTTAACCCATGATACATTAAAAAATTAAAGGCCTGCTTTGCACAACTCAGCCTCTTAAAGTTTCAGAATTAAAGTCTAAGGGAGAGAAAAATTTCATTTTAAACTGCAGGCTAATGACTAAGTAGCTCTTATGTCATTTGAAAGAAATGTTTCCTTATCAAACGCCATTCAAATCTTTTCAAGTATAACCATGTAAGTTAATGGGTAGGTCCTGGAGGGTCCCCTGTCTAGAGGGTCCCCCTGAATTTTTTACAAT